CATCCATCCATCCATCCATCCATCCATCCATCCATCCATCCATCCATGACGTGCAAACATAAAATAGCTATATGGCTCATGAATCACTACAAGTAATTTTGAAAACAAGTTGAGTGAGGGTTTTCTCTTTGTGCGAAAAATATTGTTTTATAACCTAATAATTAAAACTCACGACCAACAGATTAGTAGATGAAGACCAAGAGACCAACTGAAAAAATAATAATATATACTGATAAGTACAATACATCCAAAGTAAATCAATATATCCTTTCAAAGAAATCATTAGTGCTGTTAATAGCTTCAGCAATTAAACACTGCATGCTGGCTGAAGTATAAGTTTAGGTTCATGTATGCAACAATGCTAGTTACCTGATAAAAAAAACAAACTCTTTTTTTTTTGTTTGTTTTTTTTTGTTTCAGGAGTTGACTTATGCTGATTCACATAATTATTGCTGCTGTTTATTCAAATTTGCATTGTTCTAAAATGTTTATTTGTATTGTTTATTTAATGACCATAAACAACCATGATAGTATGTGTGAGGGAATAAGCAGGGCCTTTGGGCCCACATCCCTGCACAGATGCTGGATCCAAAAGTACATCATGGCAGCTTTTGTAAACAAAAATCTTGGCTTCAATTTTGAACAACAGACATGGAGTGACATGGAATAGACCTTTTTCCATCTTTTTTTTTTTTTTTTTACCTTGATAATTCTAACTAATAGTGATACATGTTAAACCTGCAATTCAGCAACTGATTGCAGCATTAAGTAATTTAATGTTTGCAGTTTCTGTAGACGGAGAAAATATTTTTGAACTGTTGGCGTTAAAAAAAAAAAAAAAAAAAAAACTGACAATCCTAAAGATCAAACTCAAAAGAGAAAAGAAAATCCCAAATTGAAGTTTGATGGAAATGGATATTTATTGTACTGTATATTACAGAAAATATGAGTACAAAATTGCTGAATAATGTATGTATAAGGGGAAGGTTAAATAAAAGTAGCAAATAGTTGCAAAAAAAAGTATTTAATTTGAATCTAACATATTTTATATATATGATGATTCCTAACATACAGACCTTTTCCACTATTGTGTACGTTGTTAGTAAATAAGAACAAGTACAAGGTAAAGTGCATACGGAAACTTCAAAGTTCGGTTTTTGATACTGAGATGTTGGGCAAAATTAACTTAAGCTTTTTTTTCTAATGTTGACCATTTTTATGGTTTTTTTTTTCAGTTTTTGCATTATATAAAACCAGATTCAGGTGTTATCTTGTCCTGGATTTTTATTAAAATATGGGTTTTTTTTAGGTATCCAACAATAACTTGCATTTAAGGTTAAACTTATTCAAGTTTTAAGTTATATTTTTACTATAAGGCCCTGTAAAGAACAGTTATTTCATCCATCCATCCATTTTCTTTACCCGCTTATTCCATTTTGGGTCACGGGGGTCGCTGGTGCCCATGTCCAGCAATCACTGTGCGAGGAGCGGGGTACACCCTGGACAGGTCGCAAGTCCATCACAGGGCAGAACAGTTATTTATACAATGCATTGATTCAAAGTAAAAGTAACTACTTTTCATAAGTTTACTTATACAAAAACTGTTTTCTCTAGTTTTTTTTTTCTCTCTCTCTCTTTTGTTCACTATTCAAAGGTTTATGACAGCAAGATGGCTCAGTGGTTTGCACTGTTGCCTCACAGCAAGAAGGTCCTGGGTTTAATCCCCAATTGGATCTGGGGTCTTTCTGTGTGGAGTTTGTATGTTCTTCTCATACTTAAGTGGATTTTCTCCGTGTACTCTGGTATAGACAAAAAAAAAATAAATAAATAAAATAAAAAAACAAACATAAATGTTAGTATGCCTTCAGGCCCAGGCCTCCCTTGCAGAAGAGATCTGTGATCTCAGTGGGATGTGCCTGGTTAAATAAAGGTTAATAAATAAATGTATTATGTGTATAAAGGAAAATATATACTTTTTTTTTACAACCCCTTATAAAATATGTGGGATCACTTATCTTGGATTATGGTTTTTCACTTGTTTAATTTTCTTCTAAAACATCACAGACTTGACGGCATGGTGGTTTCTAAAGCCATTGCCTCTCAGTGAGAAGGTCACCGGATCAAATCCTGGCCGGGGGCCTTTCTGGGTGGAGTTTGCATGTTCTCTCCGTACATATGTGAGTTTTCTCCAGGTACTCCTGTTTCTTCCCACAGACCAAAAACATACGTTAGGCTGACTGGTAACTCTAAATTGTCCCTAGGTGTGTGTGAGAGAGTGAATGGTTATTTGTGTCCCTGTGATGGACATGTGACCTGTCCAAGGTGTCCCCCGCCTCTCGCACAGTATACATTAGATATGGGCACAATTGTGACCCTGTGACCCAAAAGGGAAGAAGTGGGTAAAATATAATGGATGGATGGAATATGGCAAACATGCCACATAACTATCCATCCATCCATTAGCTTTTACCTACTTCTTCCTTTTAGGGTTGTGGGAGGTCACTGGTGCCCATATATGGTATGGCAGGTACTCTGCGAGAGGAGGGGGACACCTGGACAGGTCGCAAGTCCATCACAGGGACACATAGAGACAAGCGAGACAAACTCACTCCCACTCACACCAAGGAAGGATTTAGAGTTACCAATCAGCCTAACATGTATGTTTGTTTGTGGGAAGAAAATTGAGTACATGGACAAAACCCACGCATGCACGGAGAGAACATGCAAACTGCTATCCTGCTGCTACCCTGTACATTTACAGGGCTCACAACATCAAACTATGTAGAAATGTACTTTTTTTTTCTTACTGTCTTCTCGTCTTATGTGTATTTTGTACAGATTCAAGGTACAGAGCAAGGGGAACAACTAACATATTTTGGGAAACCCCATTATGATTTACTGTAATGAAAATAATTTTCTCCATTGCTTCAAATTATTTGTCTAATTTTAGAGCCAATTGGTTTATGTTAATATGTTTAGTTCTAAACTGAACAGCAGAAAAATACCATATACAGTATGTGTGTGTGTGTGTATATATATATATATATATATATATATATATATGTGTGTGTGTGTGTGTGTATGTGTGTATCTGTGGGTTTGTTTGTCAGATTTTGATGAGCTAACCATAGTGTTTTGCATTAATGCTGTCAAAGAGAAAATTCTTAGGAATTTCAGCACCGTGGACAGCGTTTCTTTCTGCATCAACCAGAGGAAAGTGGTCTGTAACAACAAAGTTAATGATTCCCCTCAAAACTATTTACAAAACATGTTGTTTATTTAACCAGGAGAAAAGGTTACATCTCACCTTGTCAGAGTTAGGTAAAGTCTGAGTTCTGGTAAAAGTGTC